TTCTTTCACTTCTGAGCCTCCTGTTTCAGCCTACCAGAGTGCTAGGATTACAGGTATGCATCACCATGCCCAGCTTACCAAACATTTTAATGTTATTTCTCTGGTGATTTCTTGTCTTACAGAATCATATTGAAGTAAATGGTATGAAAGTTATCCTGAGACCTAGCCTATGGTATTGCCCTGGGTCACCCAGAATAGCCTACCAACCAGAACTGTGAGAAATGAATCACTACTTTCTGACAAAATAAAAGAGTTTATTTTTCTTTGACATCATAAGTACTTCTGATTGGATGGTAAAGGGCTGAGGTGAAAACAGTAGTGGTAGCAGGAATCCAGGTAGCTTTTGATAGAGTAATCTTGAAGTTTTACTAAATATGAATTGAGCTTTTCTCAAAGGTTTTATATTGAAAATTTGTTATCATTCAGAGACAAAAATGTTTCTCCACTCTTTTGGATCTGATTGGGGAAAAATACCTCACGGCCTACAGCCATTAATAAAAGGGATGACTAATAGGGAAGAAGAAAATATCATTAAAATATTTTAAATTTGGCCTTGCTGGACTTGTTCCCAAGGATTAAATGAGACTTGATACTCTTCTTCCAGTGCTGCCAGATTTGGGAAAATCAATTAAGATTGTGTTGAAACTAAAGATATATTCAGACTGAAAAGAGAATGGCTAAAAAGCATTCAAACTAAGTAGAGGGCAAATAAGAAATTACTAAATGTTGTCTCTATGTTTCTGTTCTCAAATCTGGATATTTTGTGACTAAAGACATTCAGAGTTCAATTAAAATTCGTAGCATAAATTATAGCTTTTGGTATGAAAGGAATATTTATGGTTTAGAGTCAAAAACACATAGGAGGTAGAAGGTCTGGATTCTAGACCAAACTCTACTATGTATTAAGGTAAACAATCCAAAAATTCATGTGGAACAAGAAGAGACCTAGAATAGCAAAAGCAGTTCTAGGCAACAGAGACATGGCAGGGCGTATCACAACCCCCAACTGGTGAAGATTCTTAACATCGGATGAGTGGACTGGAACCAAATACTTACTGGCTTCTACTCTAGAGCCTTAGGAACAGTCTTAACCTTTCCAAAACTTGGATTTACAATTTAAAAAACAAGGATAATCATAGGACCAAACTATTATCAGCATAAATCATGATTAAATTAAATAATTATACATTATATAATAAATTATTAGTGGAGTAACTAATAATTATATATTATAATATGTTGATAAATATTTATAGGGTTCTATCTTGCATGCATGTACTCAACAAATATTGGCTATAATTTATTCTTTTAGGGGGGTAGGTTAGAGAGACTGGCAAGAAAGAATGAGTGTCAGAGTTTGTGGCATTAGCTAATCAAAGGGAAGTTATTCTTTAAAGATATTACTTACAATGTAACTTTTAAAAGAATTTTGGCACCCTAAGGCCAATCTCCAAGTGACCATACCCTAGTCAAAGAAATATCTGGTATCTTATCTTACTCTTTATATGAAATTCTAGGATCTCTGAATACGTTTTGTGTAGTGCCCACCATGTCTAATCATAAACAAATAACTTTGGAAATAAATGAACATGTAGAAACACAATTTATATTTGTTGTAATTATTTTAGCTTTATTCCAATCTTACTAATGCCATATTAATATTGGCCACCCTTCATTACTAATTGAGACATGTTTAGCCACCAAGAAAATGATTCAAATTTAATGAGGTTAGAGCTTAGAGAATGCTCCCATTTGGGTTCTCCAGGATGCAGATACTGAGACAGTGAGGATTAGAAGAGGTTTGAAAGAAAAGTGGAGATGTAATATTTGTGAAAGGTAAATGAGGGAAGAAGAAGCATTGGGCAGAGAAAGCCTTGAGTCTAATATGCTGATCTGACACCTCTGAAAGGAAAGTAGATAGGGAGTAGGGCAGAAAAAAACCCAGACCAGGATGCTGATCTGATAAAATCTCAACCAACCCAAGAGGGAGCTCTGGAGCAAAGATTGCTTGCTGTTAGAGGAGTCCTACCTGGAGCAGAAAGGGCCAGGTGTCATTGCCTCAGGGTGTTCAATTACTTGGTGGGGGTGTATATAGTGTGTATAGCCTTGGCTCTTTCTGACAGTGATACAGCTTCCGGCTGCCAGTTAATTCTATTTCTTGTAGCTGAACAATTCTCTCTTGAAGAAAGCTCCGAGTGGTGCACTTGAATGTATTCTAAAGATAGCTTTTTATAATACACATTCCTTCAATATATTTTATTAGAATAAGGGGTTTTCCTACTTAATTAAGGTTGACAATTAGCTGATATTCTGATAGTAAGATTGTTTTGGATTATCTGATGGGCCAAATATAATCACAAAGGTCCTTAAATGTGGATGAAGTAGGTAAAAGTGTCAGTGTCAGAGTAATATTATGGCTAGTTTTAGAGATGGAAAGGGACCATGTTTCTTGAAGATGAAAGGAATTGTGCAGTCTCTAGATCTGGAAAATGTAAAACCAGAGAGCTTCCTAAAGAGCCCCCAGAAAGAAACTTCTCTCCACTTACACTTCACTTTTGGCCCAGTGTGACTGTTTTTACACTTGTGTTCTCCTAAAACACAACATAATAAATTTGTGTTGTTTTAAGCCACTGAGTTTGTGGTAATTTCTTTTTTGAGACAGAGTCTTGTTATGTAGCCCAGACTATTCTCAAAATTGTAGTCCCCCTGCCTCATCCTCCTGAGTTTTGGGATTACAGGTTGCACCGCCACACCAGGAAGTAGACATATTGTGCACAAGATTCACAAATACTCAAATACAAGGGGGGCACTAGAGAGAGGTCAAAGATAATCTTAAGGTTATATTCCTTAATCAAAGATGTTTCATAGCTAATATTTTGAGGTTTTGTTTGTTTATTTTGGTATATCCAGTTCTTTTCTCTTCATCTAAAAGCTGCATTTCTTCTTGCCCTTTGTTTTCATATAGGATTTTTCTCTTTACTTTTTCTCCAGCATGTTTCTCCAACATCTCCTATTGCAAGTCCTAGCCTTATGTCTTGTCTCACACACATTTTATCTCCAGGAGTGGTAATGGTACTCCGTCCCAACCTGATCAGATTCTATCTGGTATTTTAAAGACTGGAAGTAAAGGAAGAGGGACAACTTTAATCTTGGTAGCAACTAGGTAGGCGTGATGCCACAACTTGTCAGAGGGTATTGTTCTAAGTCTGCAGAATGTGATTTGGGGAGGTTCTGAAAGAATGACCCTATCTGAGAGAGATAGGATATAGCCTGAGTTAGAATTTGAAGCATTTTAGATTTTGGTTCCCTTTGTTTCCAGGGCCAATAATAGATTTACCCTTTCACAACTTGGGTTATACAATAATTTTCTTTTTTTTTGCCTAAGCTACTTCAATTTAGCATTTTTTTTTGTACTAGGGATCGAACTTGGGACCTTGCACTCGCAAGGCAGTCAGCAGAACCACTGAGCTAAATCCCTGGCCCTGGCATTTGTTACTACAACCAAAATAATCTGAAAAATTCAGGCAAACCAGAAGAAAATAAACCCCATAATCAAATTAAAAGTTAAAAAACCCACATATACACATCTATTAAAGGTGCAAAAATGACCTTTACTAAACTACCGAGTTTTTTAAGTATCTTCTGTATGAGGAAATTTTACTAATGAAATGCACATCCTAATTCCAAGTATTTACAGATTTACTCATCATACAAAATCTGTGTTTACATTTGTTCACATACCTTTCTGCAATAAGTCTTCCCTACAATCTCCTTAAGCTTATTTGATAAATGCAAAATAGAAATGCATTTACTAAAGTCTGCTTCATAAAATACACAAATGGAAGAACCGCAAAGGTTAATGAGAAGAAAGTCAGGATATTCAGATCGTCAATGGCATAAAATGTCACAATCAAAATACTTGCCGGGGAAGCCTATTGGTGTAGGCCTCTGGCAATTCTTTTATTAAAGCCAAATATTTTCTTAATTCCATGATATCTAAAGTAAAAATAAGGAGAAATCAGTTTGGAATGAATCACTTCAAGCCCACATCAATTCACTTTGGATGCAGTGAGATGTGTGTTTATTTTAATAGCTGATCTGAAGGCATGTGAGATACCATGCCACAGCTGACCAGAGTGTAAACAGAGAAGTATAGAACTTAAAACTAAACAGGCATGCAGCACGGAATAATGTTAAAATACTAAATGCCAGAAAATCTTCCGCCATTAGGTTAAAGTCTATACATACAGCAATGCCTTATAGTCTGTTTCTAAGAGGCTCTTTTAGAATTTTGAGTCAAAAAACAGTGAAAGATGACATTTGACAACCTGTGTTCTTTTTTTTCAAGGTATTCGAGTAGGTTTCTTCAGCACTTTTTAAGAGATAGCAGCTTCTTGTCCCCCAGAATTATCCACACACAGCGGCAAGAGTCTGTCGTCAGGGAAAGGGCAATTCCCTGAGATGTGAAAGTGGGCAGTGGTTGGCTATTCAGCAGTTATGGTTGGGGCTGGGACACTGACCTGCACCAGTGCTGTGAATGAGAAATTCCCCCCTGCCACTACGCACACACACACACACCACCACACAAGGGATGAGTACTACGCGCGATGAGAAATGACAAAGGAAAAAATAATGTGTGTTGAGACAGGTACAATGTGTGCTGAAAGGGGGAAAGGCTGGTGAGCACTCTGTGGCATGAGGGCGAGGTGTGGTGGCCCAAGGGCTGACTTGACTGCTTAGCCCCTTGCCAAACTAAGTTTGCTCGAGGGTGAGCGCGGGAGTATACCGAGGGGCCTCCTGGACTTTCCTGTCAGTGTTATAAATAGGCATCAAGAGCGGAGAGTTCCAGCCAGGTGCACAGGCACTTGGTGTTCCCTGCAGAGGTAGTGGAGGCGGCGGACTCCACTCTTCCCTTTCCCACCCTGCCTGGCCCCGCCCCTCCTTTCTTACTTCTCCTATCCCTGCCCCTTCTTTCCTAACCCCGCCCCAGCGCAACCTCTGGCTTCCTACTTCCCTTCCTCCCTTCCAGGCGGCTCCAGCCTCCCGGCTCCCGCTAAACTCGGCCGGAGTGGGAACGCGCAGGCGCCGTGTGGAGCTCTCAGAGCGTGGAATAGCGGTAGTGGGACCCGTGGTAAGTGTGGCAGCAACGCGGCGCTGACTGGGGGAACGTGGTCCGGGCTGAGCATCCCCGGAGAATCGGGACGTGTGTGGGTGCCTTCCATCTGGTGAGGAGAAACTGACTAGGCGTGCTGCAGCACTGGTGGGGGACACTGCCTGAGGATGTCCCGCTTGGGCAGCGTGCGGAGAAGAGTGCGTGGTGGCGGGAGTCAGCAAGAGTGTGTATGAGGGAAGGAAGGAAGGAGTTCCGAAGGCTGGAAGTCTGCACCCGGGCTCGGCACGACTGGGAGGCTAGCCAAGGGGTCTGGAAGGTCTCCCAGCCCCAAGTTCAGTCCCCCAGCTTCCTGCCCCTGAGCAATGTCCCGGGCTTGCAGAGTCGCCAGGAACATCACGACGTCGGGAGAGGATTTAGTGGAGATGGGCTGTAGGCCTGGGTTAGTGCCAAGGAGGGCGTGGCGTTTGTGTGACTTTCCTTTACCCGGCCCCCGGGAATGTGTCTCTCTTCTGGTCTATTGTGCTCGTGGACATTTTAACAAAGGCTGTGACTGTTTTGTAGACTGTGGCGGGTGGCAGCGTGTGTGTGTGTGTGTGTGTGTGTGTGTGTGTGTGTGTGTGTGGTGGTGTGGTTGTGAAATCCTGATGTGGCCCTGCGGGACTGAGGACCTGGCGCGCGCGGGAGGGGGGAGGTGGTGTGAGGGAGTGAAAGGAAAGGAACAACCTTCCTGCTGCAGCTTTTTCCTTCTTCCTGGTCTGCTGCTTTTCATCAGTGATGGAACAGCCCAGAGAGGGATATTTGTGTGTGTGCTGGGGGGAGGCTCTGGCTGCAGCTATTGGTTTTATGCTTGTACTCATACAGTTCCTACTAGTTCCTTAGAAAAAGCGAAACTAATAGAATTTGAGGAGAAATAATTGAATAAAAGCGTGAAGAGGTGAAATGACACAACTTAGAGCTAAATTATTCCCCTTTGGTAGTCACATAAAGCCAGACTTTGAGGGATGCGAAGGTGAACAGCTCAGGGTAAGTGGAAAGTTGGTTAGAGTACTGTTTATAGCTAAATGGATGCACATTGAGGCCATACTCTTAAGTGAAATAAATAGGACACACATGTGTAAATACCAAACGAATAGTATCTCTAGTGTGAGAAACTGAAAGTGTAAATAAGGATTAAAATTATTAAAACGAATAATTGATAATTTGAAATATTAAAAGGTCCAAAGGCATAGGGGTGGTGGGAGGGGAAGGGGAAAGGAAAGAAGGGAAAGGAAAAGTTATGAGAAAAGAAAAAAAATGGAAACGAAATCTATGTAAATAGGGACGGGAGGAGGGGGTGAAGGGAGGACAGGTAATGGGGAAAAAATAAGAACCAAGATACATCATGTACAGGTACAAGCACCCGATGATAAATGTAAATGTATTATATACCTAAAATGTACCAATAAAAGAATTTTTTAAAAAAGAGTGTCTTACTGGGGGAATGCTGCCATGGTCTTAGGCAAGGTCACTGTAGAAAGTTTGAAAATGACATTAGTGATATAAAACACTAGAGCAAATAATTGTGATATTGAATAAGGATCCATAGGCTTTCATTTTCAATTTAGACTTCTTTCTAAAACGTGATCTATATCTTACTAAGCATAGATGTTGATATTTTTACTCATTTAAGTTAATACAGCGAAACAAACTGAACTTCTTCCTCCACCCCTTTCCCTTGATTGTGAATTCTGCTTTATAAACATTTACTTTCAGATCTGAAGTATAGTTAAACATATGATTGCTCCACTTCAAGTATGAAGTGAATAGAATTTATTCTTGTTTTATTGTTATTTTACTCTTTTTTTATTTGTTTTCTTTGCTGTTATTTTTAAGGCTTATGGTGATAACATTACCAAATGTGGGAAGGGGGTTTTAGGGGTGAATGTCCCTCTTCCACTGCCTGTTGAACTCCTATGCATCCTTCCAGATTCAGCCTAGTTAAAATCTCGGAAAAATTTGACAACTCCAAATTAATCATCCTTTTTTCTATTAAATTAATACCATTGGCTTTGTCTCTTTCTTGCTACTGGAATCTGTCTTTTGTGTTACCCCAGTACCCAAGGCTACCTTGCATGTGATTAGAGTTAGATGTTAAATGCTGTTAGAAAGATAATCATTCATTTTGCATAAAGTTCATGAAATAATAGACGAAATTCAGAATGCTGAAATTGTATTTATTTTTTGAGCTACGTTATTTGGATATGGATAAGGAGTAAGTACAGAACTACATTCCTGTGTATTTGCCATAGTTTATCCTTATAAAAGAGATGCAAAAACTTTGCAGATAAAGGGAAAATTCAACACACAACAGAAAATTAACCATTTGTAAAAAGACAAATAGGATACTGCTTAATTTAGGAGCTACTACAAATAAATCCACTTTGCCAGATGCTATTCTCTGAAGGCTAATATAACTAAAGGGAGATGTAACTTAATTAGTTGTATTCCTTTTAAATCTTAAGGTTGTTTGAGCCTTCAGCTAATGGGTTTCTTAGGGTTGTAGTATTTCCTGATAGGCTTGCTCTGACCATTTCTGCCATTTTGTTGTTTAACTTCACCAGTTTCACTGGTCTTCCACTTACCTCTGGCTTATGAAAGGAATTAACTTCCAACTGTGCCTCACCAGATTCACCCAGTCTCACTACCCCCACCCCCAGTTTTCATCTCCTCAATGGACTTACCATTGGAGAGAATCTCGTGAACAAATGATGACTCACTTTGTAAAAGGAGGGAATTGATTCTTTAGTCTAAAAATGAGTCCGAATTGACTACTATTTATTCCAGGTTTCTGTAACTGCAGTGAGCCTGTCGTGGTTATTAGTAACCTCTATTTTTCTTCCCTCACATAATTTTTCCCTATCCACCTAAATGTCCAGGTAACATTTTTAAACAACATTAACTATCATCCTCCCAAACAGTTCAAGTTAGTACTTGACATTTACAAATAAAATTTTAGACTTATATAGGAAGAAGAGTCCATGAAAATTTTTTTAAAGTACTGCATCTTCTGTGATCTGTAAACCTACTTTTTGAAAAAATATTCCAAATCAATCCATTATAATTATATATTTATTCTTAGAACTTTCCTCACCTAGACTTCCTCCTCAAATTTCTGTTTTTTCCTCTAATTGTGAATTTAAGGGCAGAGTATACTTAAAGCTGGTAGTGTCATATCCTTTAAAGTGTGAGAGAAGACACTTAGATTTGATGACCAGGAGATTTTCTTTTTGTTTTTGATATGTGTCAAGTGCAGAGGGCTGATTTAATTATGTTTCTCATTTGGTAGAGTATTATCATTATGACCAGAAAAAGCTTCAAGTAATTGAAGTAATGGTTCTTAATCTAGTGTTAGACTCTCTTAGGGATCTGGTTAAACCAATATACTTATATTTAGTCCCCCTTCTCCAACAGAAACCCATCAAATCAGAATTTCAGAGTGTGTAATCTGGACATGAAAAAGTTCCAGGAGATTTTTACATGAACACTGATTAAGAAATATTTCTTTGAGCAGTGGTGGTCAGGATATGAAGGTAATTAAAATCAACTACTTTTATTGATAAATTGTTGGTCAAAAGACAAGGGGAAAAAAGGCTGAAGTTTGAAGATTTTAAGAAATCAATACAGTGGGAGTGCCTGAGAGGTGAAAATCCTGGTAGAGAAGGGGAGTGATTGAAGGTATAATTAATGCTGGGAGGGCGTAATCTGTGCAATAGAATACTGGAGAAGAAAAGCAGGGCAGAGTGCAATTAGGGGCCCCAAGAGAAAAGAAAAGAATGTGGGAAAAAAATCTAAAGGTAGAAGTAAGTAAAGTTGAAGGAAATCTCTTCAGGCGAGGTTTGTTTGGACACTACTGTTCTTTGGTGGAATTTAAGTAGTCTCTGAACTTTAATTAGAATGGATTTTTTCAAGTCTAATAATGCTAGTAAAAAATTAGTCATTTCAGCTATTCTACTTACTCCAAATAGTTGCATAACTGAATTTTTCTACATCCTTTTGTATTTACAAGACTTTTTAAAAGTTAAGTGTAGACACGCTGTGTTTTAGTGCTGTTTCCCAGACTTTGATGCCAAACTGCCATATTGTAAGTTTTTAAATGTTTTTATTCAATTAGTTAACTCATATTTGTGTGCCTATCAATTGCCAGGAAATTTTGTAAGCAGTGAGACTCCAACATTGAATAAAGCAGTTGTACTTTTTTGGAAATTTTTGCCATCAACAGCTTACATTTTATTTGAGGAAAGCATAAAATGAACAATTATAAGATACATACATATAATCATTTGTATACAGTCGTGTACCACATAATGATGTTTTGTGCAATGATGGACCAAATACATGACAGTGATTCCATAAGATTTTAATGGAGCTGAAAAGTTCCTGTTACCTAGTGATGTGCTAAGTATGGTAACATAGTGGCACAATGCATTATACAAATGTTTGTGATTATGGTGGTGTAAACAAACCTACTTCACTGCCAGTTGTGTAAAAGGGCAACACATACAGTAATACATATTACCTAGCACTTGATAATAATACACGACAATGTTACAGATTTATTGTATTTACTATGATATAATTTTAATCATTATTTTAGAATATACTACTTTAACTTAGAAAAAAATTTACTGCAAAATAGTATGCTGGGTTACTCTGGCAGCAGCCTCATCCATCTTGTGCTTACTGTATTCTTGAGTGTATCAAGAGGCCCTGTTGAGTTTCTGTAAGTACACTCTATTATGCATACCTAGTGACAAAATTGACTAGAGATGCATTTCTCAAAATGTACCCCCACTGTTAGGTGATGCATGTCTACACACACACACACACACACACACACACATGCACACTCATTCATACATATTGTACAAATATATTAAGTCATATAGTATATCTTTTTGGACAAATACAAAGCAGGGAATATGACTAGGGGAACATGTACAAGTATTCATCTGTGAGTGAGTGGGGCATGTTTGGCAGTG